AATTTCTGCAGCAGCTAACAAGACTGGTATATACGAGGTTCCTGACCCTCCGTTTTCGCAAGGGTCAGGCCACGCCTGACTACATGCTAAAAGCAATTCATGCACATAATAAGCATTCTTACTATTATATAGTATTCTCATTACCATGTCATCAAGCTCAATCCATGTATTGTTATCTATTGCTGAATTTACAAATTTATTCTGCTGATTCAAAAAACCACTAATGCACTCTCCACTGTATAACTGTCATAACTTCACCTATAGGAATCACATGCATTTTCATCAGTAATTAAAAGTAACTTTTACTTCAATAGACTTCACTGTGCTTCGAATACATTTACTCCTTACATATAGTGACCAATGTTGGGGCTTTTTGACTGGAAAAAATATAAAATCATTTTCCATTAGACTAATTCACTGTATTTAGTAAGATACATAATAATCAAGTTAATCATTCCTGTCTAACTTTTCCAAATCTAGATGCTGCAAAGTATCCTTTTGATTCCATTACAGGTAGCATTAGTGAATCAATCACCATAATTTTCATCTATAAACCAAGATACTATATGTATAATTATGTGCTAAAACCTTAATTTTACCTGTTGCTTCATAATATTCAGATAATCTATAATTACCTATAATTTTTGGATAAAAATATGGTGTATACTAAACATGTACAATGTACTTCTAACTTACTGTTGCATTTAACCAAATTCCCGGCTTTAAAGATTCATATTTGCCAGGTATCTTTTTCCAATCCTATACATTCACAAAAAAAGTAAACATTTTTTACTTTTGTAACAACATACAATGCATTGATCTATTTTTTACTAGATCATAGTCATGGGGCCATTGAAGGATCGATGGATTATGTGCTTTTCTTAGCAAGTACCTATAACAAAATAACAAAATCAGCAATATACAGCAAAGAAGCAATGCATACTAATGTACCTAGTTATATCATCATTGCATGACTGTGCCTGTCTTTTAGCAATTTCCTTTACATTATTAAAATAGAATGACATAAATTTAATAGCTGTACTATGACTAACAATTACTCACTGACACATGTACTTCATCTGCTTTTCCAAATTTGACACTTTTGGTTTTTTCAGAGTTACTGTTGGACCTAGAATTAAATTGTGACACTAATAAATGCACCAAAGATCTGAATTGTTTATGGAAGCAGTATGAAGTATAAATAGGACCCCTTTTGATTACCAAAATCTGACTCAATTACATTTCTAAGTCTAACTTCATCTGTCACCCCAAGTCCATTATATAGAAACCTTTTATTTTTTCATAGGACTATCGATGTAATATGTAGATCCTTTTTCATAGTGTAACCCGCCAGTTTATAAACATTAGAATAGACATGAATTGTATCTGGTACAGTACTGCTGATGCATTGTAGGTCTTTTGGTCCAAAAGAGTCTATTTGAAATGGAATAATCCAAGGAGTTTTGTTAAGAAACTGGGAACTCTGTACAGTGAGATTGCCAATGCATTCAAAGAAAAGTTCCATTCCTGATGACAACTCTTTTTCCTTGATACAACAAAAACCACTATATGGTGGATCACTATGAAACTCCTGTCCACAGTATCCACTTTGGTCACCCTTGTTTGGAAAGAGAGTTTTTACTGAATTGAGCACAGAATGGCTTTACAGAAGCAGGAACAAGGCTCAAAGATGATGGATACCTATCAGTTACTGGATTGGGACAGTGAGGGGAGTTGCATCGAAGCGTCAAACACAGTTTCCAAACTCTACACAGATGTTGAAATGGTGCTGGCC